AATTCCATGTTTCCAGTTCTGTCAGTCCTTAAAGAATTTTTCTTAAAAATATTGGTTCACGGCTGTAACAGTCATAGGACTTTTTATTTTAATCTATGACTCTAATAATCCTTGGGGAATTTTGATTTAAAATAGTTCGCTTTGCTGATATTATACTTAAAATCGACATACATGACAATCATATATCTATAAAGCCCACGTCCAGGACTCTTTTATTCCCTTTCCACGATTTCGGATAGTCTTTCACATCAATGGCTATAATAGTCGTTCGGGAAACATTTTCTTCAAAATCCACGTCCATGGCTCAAACAGTCCCTGGAGACATTTTCTTAAAAAATATCATTGGTACCTCTTATAGTCCTTAGAGAAAAGTTTATTAAATTAAAGTTTCTTAAAAATCTACTTACATGGTGAATATAGTCCATTGTTACATATAGATTGAAACAATTTTCTAAAGTAATCCACGCCCAGTGCCACGATAGTCATTGGAGACTTTTATTAGTCTCAGATAGTTCTTCTAAAAATATTCTAGCCCTTTGATAATATTTGTCCTTGGACAATTTTCTGATAATCCTTGGAAATTTTTCATGTTTACCATAGCATCGACAGTTTTAAGATTTCTTTTTTTATCCATGTCCGTTCTTTATAAAGGGAGTTTTTTAAGCTAGATAGAACTTTAAATTGTAAAAAGTAACACAAACAAGTAAGAAAGCAGTAAGTTCGGCCGGGCCGAACTTTAAATACCCTCCACCATTTGGAACGAATTAGAAAATTTTCAAAAAAAAAAAAAAAAATAAAACCATTAAAAATTCTGTTAAAATCTTTAAAATACCTAATATCAGAAGTTGCCAATATATGGGTTGATATACGATATTGTGGACCTATATAGACAAACTAGCTAAACCCGGTGCGCTTCGCTACCCCTTTTAATTTTATATGCATTCAAAATTTTATTTACGAATATATGTTGGTTAAAAAAAAAAACAAATTTAAAAAAAAATTAAAAAAAAAATATATTGCACTACTTTAATGCGTAAATAACCAAAACCATTAGAAAAGCAGTAACATGACATACATACACGAAGGGTTTGTCCTTTGGATTTATTTATTTCATAGCAAATTGCAAGCGTGCAGGAAACTGTAGTTTCTTGAAGATGAGTGGCATTTCTATTGCAATTAGTGAATTCGAGGTAGCAACATACTTCCCCGTAATAAGCGTATTTCAAATTAATTGTTGTGTTGTTCTTTAGTCTTAGCCTAAGGCGTTGTGGGTCAATGGTTCTTATTAAAATCATATCCCAATCTGATCCGATTTAAATATAATTTTAAAAAATTTACTTTTACACCAAATTCCGCCACAACTTTCATATTTCATTGAAATCATTCTGAATTTCATTGGAATCGGTCACATAATATATATGAAATATATATGTTAGCTATACCCAAACCTGAACCGATTTCAATATAATTTGGCAATTTTTTTCTGGTGCCAGATTTCGTCTCTCGCTTTGGATGCATCAAATATGTGAAATCGGCCGAGAATATATATGGGAGCTATAATCAAATCTCAGCGTATTTGAATATAATTTGTCAAATTTATTTTTGTACCAAATTTAGCCACCCATGCCGAATTTCATTGGAATCGGAAATACGTATAGTGTTTTGTGCATCAAATACATGAAATCGGTCGAAAATATATATGTGAGCTATACCTAAATTTGAACCGATTTTAATATAATTTGACTAATTTATTTTCTAATCAAAATCCCGTAACACATTCCCAATTTCATTTAAATCGAACATACATATCGTGTTTGGTACATCAAATAAACGAAATCGGTTGAAGATGTATATGGGAGCTATATCCAAATCTGACCCGATTTCGATATAATTTGACAAATGTATATTTGTTTTAATTTCCGCTACACATTCCAAATTTCATTGAAATTAGAGATACATAGCGTGCTTAGTGCATCAAATACATGAAATCGGTCGAGAATATATATGGGAGCTATATCCAAATCTGAACTGATTTCAATATAATTTGACAAATTAATTTTTGCTCCCAATTTCATTACTTATTTTAAATTTCATTAAAATTGGACATACATATCGTATTTGGTGCACCAAATACATGAACTCGGTCGAAATATATATGGGAGCTATATCCAAATCTGAACCGATTTCAATATAATTTGATAAATTTATTTTCGGATCAAATCCCGTTAAACGTTCCAAATTTCATTGGAATCGAACATTCATATCGTGTTTGAGGCATCAAATGAACGAAATCGGTCGAAAATATATATGAAAGCTATATCCAAATCTTAACCGATTTCAATTAAATTTGGGAAATAACTTTTTTAGATAAAATCCATCACACGTTTCAAATTTCATTGAAATTTGGGATACATAGCGTATTTGGTGCATCAAATGCTTGAAATCGGCCGAAAATATATATGGAAGCTATATCCAAATCTGACCCGATTTCAATATAATTTGGCAAATTTATTGTTGTTCCAAATTCCGTTACGCATTCCAAATTTGGAGACTGTATCTGTAATCGATCAATAGATATGTGCATATAAAATCTAAATTTTTGGGAGGTACCTCCGATTCTGATGCTATATCTCCAGTTCCAAGTGGAAATTCTAAAATGTATATAGCCTATGTTACTTTCAGGCGATGTTGCAGTATATATGGAAAATTTCAGGAAAATCTATTCAGCGGTTTTCGAGTCCATAAATTACAAACAAACAAACAAACAAACAAACAAACATACAAACATTTTCCTCTTTTATAGATATAGATCTATATCTGGGGGCAAAGTGCTCACAAAGAACTCCTTGTGTAGAATTTCAGACAATTCTCTTGAGAAATGTGGCTAAACTCATCAAAATACCGAATATCGTGGGGAACTGTTATATGGGCGCTGATATGATATCGTGGACATATATAGATTATTCTTTTCCGAGGTATAAAGTACCCGCAAGTAACTCCTTGGATGGATTTTCAGACAATTCCGTTAAAAAATGTGGGTAAAATCTTCTAAATACCGAATATCGGGGTACCGTTATATGGGGGATATACGATATCGTGGACCTATATAGAAAATTCTCTTTCAGGGGATAAAATACTCCAAAGGGACTTCTTGTGAGGAATTTCAGACAATTCCATTAAAAAATGTGGCTAAAATCATCAAAATACCAAATATCCGGGGGATAGCATTATATGAGGGCTATACGGTATTGTGGACCGATATAGCCCATCTTCGAACTTGACCTGCCTGCAGACAAAAGAGAAATCTGTGCAAAATATTAGCTTCCTATCTTAATTCGTTTAGACTGTAGCGTGATTACAACAGACGACCGGACAGGGCTAAATCGTCTTAGAATTTTACGCTGATCAAGAATATATATACTTTGTTGGGTCTAAAATGATTATTTCGATGAGTTACAAACGTCTGTCCGTCTGTGGAAATCACTCTAGCTTCCGAACGAATTGAAGTAGCTTGATAAACTTTTGCTCAAATGTATATTTTGTCCACGGGACTTTTGGTATTTAAAATGGGTCCACGTTTTGGTACAGCCCCCATATAATGGTACCTCCCGATATTCGGTATTTTGATAATTTTAGCGAATTTATTCACCGGAATTGTCTCAAATTTGGTATTTAAAGTTCGAAATGAATACTACAGCCTAAGACAGAAAATCGTCTGTGCAGGTCCACCTTTTCGTAAAGCCCCCATATAACGGTACCTACCGATATTCGGTATTTTAATGATTTTAGGGGCATTTTTCACCAGAATTGTTTCAAATTTGATATTTAAAGTTCGAAATGGATACTACAGCCTACGACAGAAAATTGTCTTTGCAGGTTCACGTCTTCGTATAACCCCCATATAACGGTACCTCCCGATATTCGGTATTTGTTTTTGTCGAAATTATAACCAAGTTTTTTTTTAAGTTTCGCATTTGAATATTGTAATGGCTTATAACAAATGTTACCAACGCAGGTTCATGTCGTCGTATAGACAATAATATAAAAGCTACATTCGGTATTTTTAAGATTTTAAGAGAATTTTTAACAGATTTTATTGTCAAATTCGTTTCAAATTGTGAAGGGTATTCAAAGTTCGGCCCGGCCGAACTTACAGCTTTTTACTTGTTAATAATCATAACTTGAATAAAATATGAAATAAAAGTCCGATTGTTATCAAATTTTACACATTTCAATATTTTTACCAACACAACCTTTGGTATTAGGACGGAGTGTTTTGGACAACTCCTTCTTGTACCTCCCCCAGCCGATTCATTCTAAACTTCACACATTGCAATATTTCTTCTAGCTCAAGATCTGATGTAGGTATCGGCCCATTCCTTCTGATACTTCTCCCACAACGGTTTAAAATTTTGAAAACCCATTAGACTCATAAAATGGGATAGGAATATCCGATTATTTTCACACTCGACATATTCCAATAGTTACATTAGCGCAAAATCTAGCGTGAAGAGGGAATATAACAGACGGCTCTTTCTGGTACCTCCCCCACAAAGGGACAAAATTTGGAATAATTATTACTCTTAGAATTTGGGAAATAAAAGTCCCATTGTCCTCAGAGTACACACATCTCAATGTTTCTATCTACACAAGATATGGTGTAAATATGGAATATAAAGTTGTCCTTGGCTTAGAGAGTTTCTTAGAGATTTTTTCTTAAAACCCCTTGGGGAAAACATGATTTATACATTTACACCCACAGCATTGACAATCCTTTCAGGTATTTTTTGTGAAAATCCAAGACCAAAGTAGTTGTAGTGCTTGAAAAAAATTCGAAACCTCTACAATTTTTTCTTCTAAAAAAAAATCTCTTTTGTACATAAGTATGCTTTTAAAGAAATCAAATTTGATTCCCTTGAAATTTCCATCAAAAAATGTACAAAAAAATAATACTATCACATTCTTTTCATTTAATAAAAATTTTCAAATTTATTTAATTCGGCGAATACAAAAATTAAAAATTAATTTTATGTAGGAACATTTATCAAGATAATCTCTGCCTGAAGAAGAAACAGAGATTATAATATATACAGCTTAAAAAATCGCCGAACAATATGCTCAACAAAAGCATTATCATAATTGAGGAGAGCCTATATCTGATATCCTTTGCAGCCACAAATGTAAGCAAATTATGAAGAAGGGACTTTTTGCTTTGCCATTCTTTTAAGTGGACGTCATTAAAGTCATTAACAATTATAACAAAATTCAACTTTACCCCCAAAGCCACAACCTGTGTAAAAATATAAGGGATATGGACGAAATTGCTGGTAAATTTCTGGCAGGATGCTGTTAATTGTGGGTAAGTGTTATGAGAGTGTTTATCTTTTTACACAGATGTGTGTTCGTGTTTTTAACGAAAAGGATCTGGGAATATACAAGTATACCCTTAGGGCATTATACTTTATACCCTTAGTCATATGACTACATTTGATACGGCCGAAACGTGCCTCTTTGAAAAAAAACGGTTTAAGGCTCTAGATCTCTGGACCAAATTCGTTTCAGGGCAATTGTACTCGATCTAGGGATATCTGTCTCTCAGGTTCGTACGATAACTCTCGAAACGAGTATCCGATTTGGCTCAAACTTAGTACAGGGTTGTCCATATTCGACGGACCCATCTGGCAACGCTATAACTTTTGACAGAGATGTCACATCGCTTAAAAATAACATCGCTGCCGTACGAGCCAGTGTTGAGAGGTCCCCAAGAACATCCCAAAAACGCCGTTCTCAGCAGTTGGGCATGGCTCGGCCCACTTTACAACGGATTATTCGCATTGATTTGCATTTGTTCCCGTACAAAATTCAATTGACGCAAAAAATGTTGCCTGCGGACAAGCCTCGTCGATTGGAATGGGTCCAAAGAGTCATGGGTCCGTCGAATATGGTAAACCCTGTACATCGTAATATGATTGTTAAACTTAGATCGAGTTCGGAGATGGGCATCACCGGTCCACTCCTTCTGGTGCCTCCCCCCAAAAAGTCAAAGTTTGCAAAGAAAGTAGTTTAGCTCATAGAAAGAGAAAGAATCATTTGTTCATCATCATTTTGTTCGAACTGTGCAAATTCTAATATTTACATTAGTGCTGGGTCAGATGCGAAAATTGACAATATAACCCTGCTTCATCAAGATCATCCCCTGTGTTGGAGGTATTATAAGTTTTATTGGGCCAAAAATTATGTAACACCTCGAAATATTGGTTTCCCACATAGGAAAGTATATATGGATGTTCCTATCTCGCCGAGCTGAGTCGATCTAGCTATGTATGTCCGCCCGTCCGTCTGTCCGTCTGTCCATGTTAATTTGTAATCACTCTACAGGTCGGAATTATGGCCCGATCTTCATGAAATTTAGAAAGAAGGTGGGCCATAGTCCAGAATAGAAGCCTATTTCTTTTGGAGATGATCGCAAAATATTTAGGGGTTGAAATGGACCAAAAACTGAATAAGTTTCCTTATTTTGCAGTTGCTCTATAGGTCGCAATTATAGACCAATCGACGCGGAAGTTATCATGGGGCTATAGCTTTGGGCTGGACAGAAGCCTTCCAATTTTGATGGTCATCGGGTAGTATTTAGTAGGTGAAATTGACCATAACATTTGTGTTAAATAAAGGTCAAATATCAAATATATCGGCGAAATCAAAAATAGACGAAGAGGTCGTTACATAGATACCGATTGTAAATATATCGGATATATGTAGCGAAATATAATAATATGGGTTATTATATACAGATTGTCTTTTTTCGTCCCATCCTCACGAAAATTGTCACAAGGGTAGGGTTATGCTCAGGAGGGCTAGACCTATTATTTCCAAGATGTCGCAATATATTTAGGGGTTTAAATGGACCAACAACTAAAAATGTTCCTGATTTTGCAGCCCTTATAAAGGTCACAAATAGAAACCAAATGACACGAAATCTCGCATGAAGTTAGAGTTTAGGACAGCAGGTAGAATGGACCACTACTTTTGTGTGAAAAAATACCAACATTACTTGCAGGCGATATCCGAAATACACAATAGGCGAACTTCTGGCGTTTTTTGCTGATTTCGTTGACGAATATATCCAAATATCGTAGATAATCAAATCATAAAGATGAGTCTAAATTTGGTGATACCAAGGAGCCTCTTGCTTTTGGAGATGATACTCAAGAAAAATTATCCTGACCACACAATTAAAGCCAATCGACACTCCTGATTATATTTAGCCGTAAAATGAACCACAGAAACTAACAGCACGATAAAGTGCGTAAATATTGGGCAAATGTCCCTGGTCAAAATGCTAAGGGTAATATCTGGGCAGTGCTCCGTGACATAATTTCAAAAGCGAAATCTTCCAAAATAGATTTGGACATAAGGGCGCTTCTAACATTTTGTAGTGTTGAAGGGCTGGTATCATATGGTTGGCCCTTCACGACTATAGTCTTTGCTTACTTGTTTTTTTTATATCAATGATTATAGGAGCACTATTAATAATTAAAACATAGGCCTATTTTTACCTCCTCATAAAGGATAAAATTTTGGCAAATAATGAAAACTTTCATTGCTAATAAATCTCATACAATTTATAACCAGTAAGGAAAGCTCAAAATCCGGCCGGTTTCGACTATATGATACCCTACACCACTATGCATATTTAGTAGAGCTCTCGTAAAAAGGTTTATACAGGGCATTTCAGAGCTCTATGAGATATTTGGTACAAAATCAAAATCTATCTAATTCTATCGTGCATTTTACGAACTATAGCTATCTCTGAACCGGGTTTCTCCAAAATTTACGTATTAGCTTCTAGACTTAAATCGGTCTTATCTACGAAAATTCAAGTGATTTGGGCTGATATTGACCATTTAGTGCACATTTAACCCGAAATCGGATGAAGATATATATGGGAGCTATATCCAAATCTCAACCGATTTCGATAAAATTTAAAACAGCTATTCCTGTGCTCCATCTAATACCTGGTACCAAATGTCACGGTTGAGGAGTGAATATTACGAATGTATGGGACTAAAACACTAAATCGGATGAGACATATATAAGGTTGCTATATCTATATCTGAACCGATTTTCACTAAATTTGATATACTTGCTTCTGGGCTGAATTTGGTCCGATGTACTAAAATTCAGTCCATTTGGACTTATATTGGCCATTTGGTGCACAATTAACCCGAAATCGGATGAAGGTATATATGGGAGCTATATCCAAATCTGAACCGATTTCGATAAAATTACAAACAGCTATTTCTGGGCTGTATCTTATATCTGGTACCAAATATCATTCTTGTGGAGTGCATATTACGAATGTGAAAGGCTTAAACACCAAATCGGATAAAACATATATATGGGAGCTATAGCTATATCTGAACCGATTTTCTCCAAATTTGTTGTATTTGCTTTGAGGCTAATCTCGGTCACATGTGCTAAAATTCGGGCCATTTGGGCTGATATTGGCCATTTGGTGGTCAATTAACCCGAAATCGGATGAAGATATATATGGGAGATATATCCAAATCTGAACCGATTTCGATAAAATTACAAACAGCTATTTCTGGGCTGTATCTTATATCTGGTACCAAATATCATTCTTGTGGAGTGCATATTACGAATGTGAAAGGCTTAAACACCAAATCGGATAAAACATATATATGGGAGCTATAGCTATATCTGAACCGATTTTCTCCAAATTTGTTGTATTTGCTTTGAGGCTAGTCTCGGTCACATGTGCTAAAATTCGGGCCATTTGGGTTGATATTGGCCATTTGGTGGTCAATTAACCCGAAATCGGATGAAGATATATATGGGAGATATATCCAAATCTGAACCGATTTCGATAAAATTTAAAACAGCTATTTCTGTGCTCCATATAATACCTGGTACCAAATATCACGGTTGTGGAGTGCATAGTAGGAATGTGAGGGACTTAAAGATCAAATCGGATGAAAGATATATATGGGAGCTATAGCTATATCTGAACCGATTTCAATCAAATTTGGCATGCTTATTTTTAGGCCTAATTTGGTTACATGTGCAAAATTCCATACTATTCGGGCTGATATTACACGTTTGGTGAACAATAAAAGGCAAATCGGACGAATATATATATGAATTTTTACCGATTATCTCCAATATCAATAGGGTTCGTCGTTGGGCCAAAAAAATATTGTTTGGAAAATTTCATCGCAATCGGATAATAAATGCGACCTGCATTTTGTTCACAAGAATACATGGACAGACGGACTGACATGCATAAATCGACTCAGAAAGTGATTCTATGAAGGTTCTCAAAAGTAACTATGGGTCTATCTCGTTTCCTTCTCCATGTTACAAACAAATGCACAAAGATTTGTAAGAGCTATAGGGAAATACCTTAAAAAACGCATGAAACTTTATTTGAATTGATAGTACGACCCATTTAAAGTTTGAAGATTATTTCAAACTTATCCCAATTTTGGCATCTGTTTTAAAATTTTGACCGATATCTAACGATATTGTATGTATATGTGACTTATCGGATATCTGCTACTTGTATCTTCCAACAAAGGGTCAAAATGTTGACTATTTTTAACATATGAAACAATATTCTTTTCAATATTACTGCCAAACATGCAAATTTGACATATGTAACAATTGGTTTTGTTTTTTTTTTTGACATTTTTGAACAAAATTCTTATACTGGGAAATACTAAAAAACCCTGAATGGAATGTTGGGATTATTCCACTGAATTTAGGATAGCAGGGCAATGCTGTTTTATCCCAAAATTGTATAATTTGGTGTCCATTAACGTTAAGAATATGCATTTCTGTTGCAACCGAATTTTAAGTATTTTCAAATTATTTTATTTTTTATTTAAAGGAATATACACACAAATTGTGTATATATTTTGACGGAAAAAGGGCACTAAAAGAAAAAAATAATTAGTGGCTTTGCTCTACTCTATAATTGAGCCATTGGACTAACTATCTAGGTATATATGGGATATATCGATCCACTCCTTATGGTAAATCCCACACTAAAGGTAAACAATTAAGCAAAGGCTTTAGTCGTGCGGGACCGACCATGTGATACCCTACAACACTACAATATGACAAATTTTAGAAGCCCTCTTACGTCCAAATCTATTTTGGAAAAAAATTTTCTGTTTTTGCGAACATCTCAAATGCAAAAAAAATGTAATATGTCCCTCTCTATCTCAAATTTAGACGCATCTATATGATATGCTTATCTACGATATTTAGGGCATTCTGAGTTGACAAAATTTGTCAAATTCGGTCCAGCCATTCTTGAGATATTAGCATTTTAAC